CGGGGGGTGGCCCTGCTGAGCATCGCTCCTACTGAAGTGCCGAGAAACCCAGAAAAGCCCCAAAGTGGCCCAATCCCGGCTGAAAGTGACAGTTGGCTCTGGAGAGGGGATGGTCACCCCGCCATGCCCGCTCCCCCGTTTCTCATCAGTCTCACATCTCTGTTGCAGCTGCCGCAGCAGCTCCTCAGTCTCCTTCACCCTCACCCGCCCCGTTTCCACCTCCACGGGCTGTTCTGGGTCCGGCCTTCCCAGTCCATGGCTTTGCTCCGTGACTGCCCAGCTGGACGCGAGGACAGAGAGGCTGGAGAGGCGTTTGCTGTCTGGGTCCGGTGCCGTGATGCCAGGGAAGGGGCTGGGTCCCCTCCTGTCCCTGCTTCCCCGGCTGCCCGCCGCCGTGGGATTTCAAAGCAAGGAACATCTCCCAGGGATTATTTAGCAGCTGGACGCAAACTGAGAAATCAGATGCTCCACAAATCCTGATCTGAAAAGTAGGGAGGAAAAAGAAGCAGAGAAAGTCCTATTCTCTGTGCTAATATCATTTTAAACCCCGCTCCTCCGAGGATCAGGAACACAGGGCTCCCTGCCTTAGAAACCCTGTTCTTCTGCTCCATTTAAAAAAAATAAACCAGTGCCTGCTCCCGGACCAGGTCTTGCTCAAATAAAGTCACTAACTTTGGCAGAGGGACAGAAAATAAGAGAGATGATGCAGCAGCAGAGTTACTGATGAACAACAGAATGAAGCGTGTTGCACCAGTAAGAAGCTGTAGGTGCTCCAGCTGGAAATCCTGAGATACGAACAACTCCCGGTGCTCGCTGCATTGCTGCGATTCAGACACAGAATGAAGTATTGCAGCTTGCAAGTCAAATTTTGTTAATGTTTTGCCTTGCTCCGGAGACATCGAAAGCTCAGCCTACCATTAACGAAGCTTCGTTTCGCCGCTAGGAAGCGTACAGCCTAAATCGTACGTATCTGAGCTGACACAGAGGAACTGCAGAGACACAGGAAGAATAACTCTGCTCTCGCTGCTGCGTGTAAAGCAGGGCGGGAAGTCGGCTACAGAGCAGAGAATTTAATGCACAATCTAAAAGTTCAGGATTAAAAGAAACGTGGGGAAAAAAGGGGGAGGCAACTAGGTGTATAGGAAAGGGTTTGGTAGCACTTTTACAGCCCAACTTGGCTCTCAAAAAACCTACTGGATTAGGCTAATATAGTGGACAAAAATGAGCGCTAAAAGCGTTAATCCAAGATGACTGCACATGCAGCAAGAGGAATTCCTATACAGCCGTAAGCCTCAGCCTTCCTGGCAAGCCTTTCCCCCAGGTCTGAAAGTATAGCACAGTCTGTAATGGTTTCTCTCCTGAGCCAGGAACAGTTGTAGCCACAAACGATGTTAGGAGCTGCTACGGACGGCGGAATAAAAACAAAAAAAAATCTGCTCCATTCCTGGGAGCTTATTGACTCTCCCGTGGAGCTGCAGGATGTAAGCTGACGAACAGAAACATTTTTGGAAACCTCACAGCGTGCCCCTAACATCAGGTGTAACACCCCACACCTCACCCAAAATTCCAGCCCAGGGAGATGCACTGGCAGCCCACCGCGCCGGAAGCCTGCGGCAGATTCACAGGCGACACCGGGATCACCGGCTACTGCAGGACGAAAAAGAGCCCCCGCGTACCCCAAGGCGTGTCCTTAAACCTCTCTCCAGCTCTGCCGCACGTGAAGGATGAATCCCAACCCTGACCCGAAGGACCTGGGGATAAGCCTGCTTTTAAAAGTAGTTTATTTGGATTTTCCACATCCTTTAATGAATCGCAAATATATTAACAGAAAAGACTTTTTTTTTTTTTCCCCTAAGACTGTACAATTTTTGAAATAAAAAGTCAGGAAAAGCAAAAAAAAAAAAAAAAGGAAAAAAATTACATTGTTTCAATGCAAATAGTACACACCACACCCACACGTTGCGTTTTTCCATAGTTTTGTTGTAAGAAAATGAGAGTTCCCTAATTCTTTTCAGTGAACGCACTTGCTCTAACCTGGCTGCCAGAGTGCCGTCATGCTCGCTGTCCTTCTCCCTGTTCCTCTTCAAAGAGAGCAAAATTTTATTGATTAAGTATTTAATTTTGTGTATCTATTTAGGAGGTAAAATAGCAGCATGGTCTAAACGTTACTTGAGATTCCTGGGAAACACGAAAAATCACTTTAAGTTATGATGTACATATAAAGCGAGGGACAGTTGTAAGTATTAAATCTTCCAGGTAGCATGAATATTCTTTTGAGGGCCCAGCTGAATTAAGAGCTCTTTCCAGAATGTTGAAAATTTTACTACAATTGCTCACATTTAGAGAACAAAACAAAAGGGAAAAAGCCACCGCATTTCCTAGATCTCTGGTCCCCATCTTCCCATTTGTTATGGAAAAATCTTGAGAGCAGCACCTGCTTATTCCGGCTTTTTGCTTAGAAAATGTGTTGGGAACAAAAAAGCAGCCAATTAACAGATTAATCGGTGGCATTCACACAAGTGCTGCCTCCAGACCTTACGCTGAGGTGCTGCCTAGAAACTCCTCCTTGCGAGGGATGCGCTGGGAAGCTGCAAACACGCTCTGGGGCTGGATGGGAAAACCGCGCCGGGACAGGCACGGGAAACTCCAGAGCAGCGTGCACGAGCTCTGCCCTGGCTGCGGATCAGCTCTCGGGAAATCCGAACCCTGTGTCTTCCTCGGGGAGGACTCGTCAGGAAGGGGAATCGCCCCCAGAGCATCTATTGCCACAAAAAGCGGTGCGAGAGGCGGTACGCTCAAGGCAGCTGAAACAAGTCATGATTCTCCAGACAATTCATCAACCTTCCAGACGCAAGCTGATCAGAAGTACGTGGCAGAGGCACAAAGCTTCTTTAATATATTATCATTCCTCAGATTTTAGAAATTCCTTTTCACGCTAGTAGGGAAATTTAAGCCTGTTTTTCACTGCTTATCCTCCTACTTAAAAGAACAATAAAAATTTTTTGCTCAGCAGTTGAGGATTATTTTTCAAATGATAAAGGTATCTGTGTAGCTCTTGACCAGAGAGGAGCTGTGACAGAAGACGTGCCTGGTGCAAGGCAAGGACAGAATTAAAAAAATGGAAGTTCTAAAAGTAACTAAGAGCGCCCTAAAACCCAATACATTAAAAAAAAAATTAAGACTGATCACAACAAATATGTTGCTATGAAATTTATATCATTCCCAATTTATTATGCATCAATTACTCTTTAAAACTGTTTATATCATACACTTTCTTTATCATCACTGCATAAAGGGCACCAACTGTTGCTGCAGAATGCTACAGAGAATGATCATTTTGGACTCGTTAACGTGGCGCAGCTTTCTTCTCACAGAAGCGGCCTCTGTAGAAGAGGAAAGTGTTCCTAGAGTGAGAATCTTAAAGAACAGCTTAAAAAAAAAAGAGAGACAGATAATTGCACATTTTTGCATCCTGCTTAGACCACAAGTTACAAAACAGTCTTAAAAATTATACTAATCTTAGACAATTATTTGATGTGTTTGACTAAGGTTGCGATTGTGTTAAGGCTTCCACGGTCTTCCCAGTCTATCTGCTTAGAAACACGCAGTCACTCTGGATTAAGGGTTTGATGTTGTCACATATGTATCTACATTTCTCTCTTGATTTTGTCCTTTAGTAATTTTTATTCTTAAAGGGGAAGAAAAAGTCACAGGGTATACAAAAAAAATGAAGCAAGGTGGTGCTGACTTGTTTCTTTGAAGTACAAAGTAAACACTGACCTTTCAGAGACTAGGTGAATAAATTAATTCCTAGTTGGAACATGAAAGCATTTCATGAAAGCTTTGATTCTGCAACGCGCTTCTCCTGCTACGTTTCCACTCCTGCAATTTTGCACTCTAAGTAGGGACACCGGGTATTTTACGTAGTCTGACACACTCCCAGTCCTGAGCACGTGCATCGTGTTTGTTCACTGGAGACACTGCAGCTTTAAGGTCATTTACATTCCCTGGCATTTAAGTTACACTACAATATGCAAACGTCTTTAACAGCCTGCATTTGTCAACACTGTCCTTGAAGAACTTGGAAATGAGGTTCAGCACTCTGCTTACCAAGAAAGAACCAAACTAAGACACATTTCTGGAAAAAGAACAAGACACTGCTTCATTAGTACTATCCCCACATCTACTGGCTTCGTTACAGCAAACCACAAGTCTTTCTTCCATGATATTTTTCCAGCAAAGGGGAGTCCAAAAATAGCATTTCCTCCTCAGTCACTTTCATAAACGTGTAAGAGCCAACTAAGTCAGACTCAGTAGCAGCTGAATATTGCACTGCCATTAACTCTGTGTACAGTTTAAGTCTGAGTGGTGTACTCATGGTGTCAGTGGAGAATAATGACAATGCTGGCTCAGTGATGTGAAGACCCAGGATGTGAAGGAAGGGGAGAACACAACAGTACCAGTCACACACTCAAGCTCAGATACTGGCTTTTGGAGGTTAAAATTCATCACTTTCCACTGCGTGGAGCTGTGTGTCATCTGCATCCGTCATGCTGCTCTCTTGGGATTCGTCTGTGCCAACTTGAAAGAAAAAGAAACACAGAGCAGTCAAACGCTACTGGGCTGCTTCGCTGCAGAGACTGCCCCCCAGTCGACGCCAGCACGTTCAAAGCCCAGCAGCAATAGGTTTGGGCTTCCTCTCAAAATGCTTTAAAGCCATATGGGCTTTCCCTTTTTCCTTCTAACACACTAACCCCTGCCAGCTTCATGAAGCCTAAATAAATGCATTTTAGGAAGGAATTAACATGAAGTATGTATTAATAAAACATGCTGCCTTAGCCATCTTCTGTTCAAAATGTGAAATCTCTGACACCTAGTTAGTAAGTATTGGTACGAAGCGTTTCAAAATTGCCTTAAAAGCAATTTAAGCTTCCCACTCCTTCAGAACATACGGGCTGCCTGAAATACTCGCAGTAATTACCCACTGCATTAGTGCATTGTGACCGCTTCATTTATAACCAAATAATATTAAATTAGTAGCATTAGGCAGCCTCTGCTTGCTCCCTGCTTCCGTGACAAAGAATATTGCATAAGATATGTGGCAAGAGAACTGCTTTGAGTAAATGCATACAGATGTTTCCAATGCAGAGGAATTACTCTACTCACTCAGCTCAGCTGATGGCTAGCCTGGAGCTTCCAGAAAAACTAAATTCCTACTGCTATTTGAATAAAGACAGCAGGCTGTGCACAGGAGACAAGATAAATGTGTACGTACTGAGAGGCTACCCCCTAAATATTTAACTTCTGTACTTGTTAAAATTAGAACAAAAAAAGGTATCTAATGATGGTTGTTCTTCACACACAGGAACGTGACTTGAGTCTGCTCGCCATAGTACAATTTAGCATAGTAATTGTAAATTCCCAAATACCTAAGTTGTTTCACAGATGCCTTTTATTGATTTAATGCAAACACTTTACAGGGTTCTGTACAATGGACACAGCCAGCCCCATGCGAGGCAATTTAATGCACAAAATGGCTTTCACTAGCCAAATGTATTAAAAACAAATCCTCCTTGCCCCCAGTACAACCTTAATTTACTTTTAACTTGTCTCACATAGCCTAAGAATTATTCAGCCGAGACTGTGAAACTCTTCTACATGTTATCTGCCGAGCCAAGGACACTGAATTGCTCACACACAGCTCCACACTGTTTTATTTTGGTTACGTTTATTGGACAGATAAAGTTGTTGGGTTTGTGGGTTGGGTTTTTTTTTTTTTTTCATTGCTTAGATGTTGCTCAGCAGTTCAAGTACTTTGTCTCCATCTTCTGGTCAGAAACATGCTCAGCCCCCAGTGAGCCAGTGTCCTAAGTTAGTCCAACTATAATAGCAGGGAGAGAAACTCTTGATACTTCAGGAAATGCAGTGCAAGATAAGTTTCCAGTATTAAAGAGCACGCTGTACACAGGATCAATAAAAATCAACGTGATACATAGCAGGAAAGTGTGATAACTTTTTCAGCTGAAGATTTAGAAGTGTAGAACATAGCATACATCTATTAATAAGAATTCAAAACCTGCTGTATTTTCTTCCTTGGACAAAAAGAATTAAACTGCTTATTAGCGTTTATTTTCTATCACTATTTCAGTCTGCAAAGAGGTCAGTATTTATGACTGTCCACGCTTCACAGAGCTACCCCTGCTTCATGGAATTTTAGCTCATAATAAAGAGTTAGAGAGAAAAGAAACCTGGGCCGTTCCTTTTTGTGGATTATTCCCAAATAGTGTAACGGAAGTGTTTTATTTTCTCTTGATTCAAATGAAACTTTTTTGTGTCAAAAGCTACCTTTTATGTTTAGCAAACCAAATATCTTTACCCAACAGCCAGTTTGCTTAACTTTTGACAAAGCCTCTACAGACAATTTCAGTTGCCATTCAGTTACCTTGAAATTATTTGATGCTTCTATGAGGGAAGACTTGTGGCCCTGAGAACATCTTGCTCTCCCAGGGTACTGGAAGCCAACCATGATTTGTATGGATTTACAGGAGTCATTATCTCTGTCCTACTCCATCTACAGATTCTAAAGAAATGTCACAATCCTTTATTTCATGCATATTGTAGGAAGCATGAATGAATTCTTCTGAATTAAGAGCCTCTTGAGTTCTTACTTGCCAAGCAGCGAGGTTGAGCAGTGTGTTTCTCTTATTAAACCTGGGATTCTTCCTATCATCTAAGTGGAAATACCTCCTTGAATGACAAAGGGCTGGAAATACAAACCTGATTCATAAGGGTAACATTCACTGATTTGCTCTTCTTGAGTTATTGGTTCCTCATCATCTGGAAGGTAACGTTTATCAATGGCCTCTTTAATCTGGTTATTGGCTCCTTTGGGATCTAAGTCCATTGCCCATGAGAAATTCATTAGGGCCAAATGTGTTTGACCCAGTTTTTTATAAACCTAAAATAAAAGCATAAAATGCTACATTTACATGAAGTTGCTACTTGAATGTTTGGACAACAAACATACCAAGCCACATTTAACTGATATTTTATGCAAAGCAACAGAGGGTAGATACAAAAAATTTGAGTCCCAAGGGAAACAGCCAATGTGTAGAAAGAGTGAGCAAGTGTTTCTATTTAAGACTCCAACTAAACTAGCAGCTGACAGATTCAAAAACAAAAGGAGATGGATCTTCAGATATAAGTTTAAGCTTTGGAACTATGCAGCTGGGGGGTGTAGAAGCTATTAGTGTACATGTTTTGTTTTGTCTTACCCTCTCACCACTCTTTCAATATCTTCAGTCATTGTTACCCCGAGTCTACTTGTGGCTCAGGAAAAGCCCAAAGTCTCAGACTTCTAATGTCAGAGACCCAGAGAATAGTTTGGGGTAGTATCACCACATGCACACAATCTTATACTCTTCCCTACAGCTCTCACACTGAGGACTAAAGGCAGGATACATGGTTAGATTTTTCTATCTGGCTCAGTATGGCCATTCTTACATCTTCAAGTGGCATTTTAATTGTCATTGGCAGGTGGAGAAAATAATGGGACAGTAAGTGCCACCTAGCTTCTCCTGCTAAACTGAAAGACATTTTCAAGACAAAACTGCACAGCAGAATCCAGCCCATATTTTACCTTCTTTGTCACCGTAACTTGTACCAAAGCTTTCCTTATCATTAAGGACAGATGACCAAGTGATTTATCTGTGTTAAGCATTTAAACAGTGAAAATACTTCAGTTTGTCAAGACTTGGCAATTCCAATGTCCAATTTACAGGTCCAGCTACTCCTGGACAAATACCAGTCAACAAATTTCAGCACAAATCCTTCTACCTCTCTCCAGTTCCAAAAAAAAAAAAGAAATCTTGCTGATTAAGAGTTATCCAGGACTGTGCTAGAGGTAAGTTGGTCTTGTTGCTTCCTATTGAACAGACACCCCACAGAAGAGAACTGCGAAACTTAAAACATCAGCAGAGACGACGGTGAGGAAGGAGGAGTTCTGTTACTAGATTACTTCTCTCTGGCATCAAAACACAAAGAAGGTTGGAATGTGAACACAGCTGACAAACCAGTAAGATCTTTCCTTGTGCTAGCCTACTCCTATTCGGCTCACTAAAGACTCTTCTTTCTTTCAAACTGACAACCAACCTCCTACAACTCTTCCGAGGAGACTGTCAGCCGGGAAGGACTTTGAGGCTATTGGCAAAGACTTAGGAGTATTCTACAATTACTCCTTGTTCAGCATTTCTGATACAACACATTAGAATGTGATTCAACATCTTAATAGCTACACACGCAAATAACCAACACTGCTGACTGATGGATGGACGATCCCTCAAAATTTTGAGGATTTCTATCGATCACACATTATTGCTATTGTATTGAGTCAAGTCTTGAAAGAGTTCAATTTTTAGGGAAAGGTACGTCTGTGTGCGTAACCACTGTATCTCTTTGCAGTGAAGTATCTTTATCAGGACCAATTTCTTGCTTTTTGAAATTAATTATCTTTCAAGTTAACAGTGTTGAAATCAAAGCAGGCAAAGAATAACACCGGCTTGGGTTATTTCTTCTTGGTTTGTTTTAGAGAGCTGAAGGCTGCTCCAGTAATAACTGTCTTTGCATTTAAAAGCTGATACATAATAAGACAGCGAGCAGTAAGCCTTATTTAAAGCTTTGGGAATTTTTAGAAAACTGCTCCAAATGGAAGCAGCTTGGTTACAGGCATCAAATTTTCTCATTAGGCATACATTTCTGCAACAAAAGAAACCAAAGGACTTATGATCTCAGTTAAGTTTTACCTACCTTTCCTATTAAAAAGTAAACAAGAGACTCTTTGGGAACAATCTGTTTCAGTTCTTCAAGTTCTTGTAAAGCAGACTGAAAAGGAAGAAAAAAAGAGCTTAGTAAGTACAAGCTAGCAGTCTGCAACCAGTTACGACATCACTAAACTGTGATTTAGCTCTAATGCGAAACAAAAATAATTCTGGCATTTGTATACAGTATATTCCATCAAGAACAATAGTACAATCTCATGAGACGCAGATAAAATTCCTTTCTACATTAGTTTCTCATTTAAAGATTGAGCATATTATAGCCCCGTTATTATAGAAACAGAGCCAGTTTATTGGGCTTGGTCTCCTACAACACATCTAACAGCTCTGACATCATATGCCCCCGTCACCCCCAACAAGGCATAGTAGGGTTGAAGACAAGAAGCTGACAGTGTATCTCCAGTGAGCACTTCCTTTAGTATACTGAGCTTCTGAAAAAGAATATTGATGTTTTGTGCTGAACGTACTGCTCTCAACACAGCTTTTGAAAGGCTCTGGTTTTAGATATGTATCTGTGGATTCTTACAAGTGATGACTGTGTTTATATTAGGCATTTGAAGTCCAAAATATTTAGTGAAACTTCTCATGTACTTCTAAACTAATTGTTGGCACTGAGGCAATTTATCCTGCTGTGACAGTAACCTGGCATTATTAAGAAATCCTACCTAAAAACATTTAGTCTGCAGTTAGGAATAAACATTGTTTTTAGTTACAAAGAGTTCCATTCAAGCCTCTAGAACTTATTCATGTGAAGACAATCTCAAGTCAGGGCTTGCTATGTAAATGGAAGGGTAAGCATGCATTTGTTTACCTAACGCTAGCCAAATTTATCACACTATCAAAATGCTCTTAGTACTGGTGTTAAAAATGTAATGAAATGTTTTGGTTTTTTTATGTAGTTTATGTGACCAGCATAACTTTAGTCTTATGAGTCTCAGCCTGCTAAAGAAAAAAAAGAAAGTTTTATTTTTGTCCAAATGTTTTATTTCTTAAAACTTCACCACGGTCAACAAGTTCCTTTACTCGCACAAGGGCAATAAGGTCATGAAATATTACATTTACTTTTTTTCCCCTTGAGCTTATCCTCTGCTTTTAAATTTTAAAGCAATCCACAAATGGGCACTTCATTAAGTCTTTAATACATTTTATATTTAATTGGTTCAGTTATAAATTTTCAAAAAAAGTTCTAAGTAAAGTTTTCCCTTTACATATGCACACACATTTCTGAAGCAAGGTTTGAAAAACTGGACTGCAGCTTGTCTTCTGTATAAAAAAAAAACACCAGTCCAGAGGACAACTGTCACTAGAAAGACAGAGTGTGGGAAGATCTTTCCTCATTCTAAACAGGGTACAGGTCAGCAGGGGATCAGACCAAGATTGCTTACCTTATTTTTCATTCGATAACACAGCCTTTGAAATAGCGGTTCTTATCGCTGTAATTGGTTATGGGGCAGTTTGCTGAGCCTTTTTTAGTAATTTAGTATAAACTCATGATAATACAGCTGCATCTCAGTGACAGCTGCAATAATTTCCCCTTCTTCCTTCTTCCAGGGTCAGATTAAAATCATAATAATTTAAAAAACCTATCACCTGTTGGCCCCAGATTTTATAACAAAAAATTTAACAGAGTTCCCTTGGCAAAAATGGCACTTGCCAAAGCAAATGCTTCATGTTAGCCTCTACAAGATAGGCCAATGTCCCAGGCTCCTCCTGCAAGCCCTGATGCTACCCAGCGTTAATCTGTAATCATTTAGCTTCCAGTGCATCCCCATTCCTAGGTACAGCAATTTAAAGATAACTTAATGTTGTCTACATATACCAAATCTTACCTTGTATTTTTCATTTGCAAATAATACAGAAGCTCTATGGAATTTGCATAGTGGGTTCTTGGGGTCAATGTTAATAGCTTTGTTTAAAGTATCCAAAGCCTTTTCAGATTTTTTCAGTGCATGCTGGACCTATTACAGAAAGGGAGAACAATTTTAAAAGGGAAAACAACAGCTCATCTGCCAGACAAGTATAAATCCATTTGACTACATTTACTTACAATCTGTTCCTTTAAAAAAATATTTGTCCAATTCTAGACCAAGTCTTAACAAGCTTTCTTACAAGAAGAAAACTTCACCTTGCCCCATCTCCACCTCAAAACGTTGTCCCCACCCAATAGCTGACAGAAATCATTTAACCTTTGGCCAGGAGTGAACACAATGCTTTTCTCAGTATATAAATGAGAAGAAGCCACTCTCCCTGTAGAATTTGACACAGCTTTGTTGCCACTTAGAAGGCAAATACATGCCAGCAGGTAACCATGCACCACACTTAGACAGCCTTGAGTGACCATCACAAATATCTGAGAACTGCTTCCCAACTTCATAAGCAAGCACTTGCTAGAGCAAGGCTACTGTTTTCTAAGGACCACAGTGGCAGATGGATAAATGACCAACTTTTCAAATATCCCTGTACATTTAATTGAACAGATGCTGGCTGAAGTAGCTGCCTGCTACTTAAACTTCACTTGGCATAAAGTGGCCTAAGAAAGAATTTGTCACATGTACAAGTGGCTGGAATGAGGGCAATGTGGACATGCAGCCAAGACAAAGATATTGCACTCTGAAAGGTGAGACAGGTGCCTTAGCATTTACAGAACTGGAAGTGCTGGTCCGAGTGCATGCAACAGCAATTAAAAAACACACTTAAGTTCTTATCTATCAAGTGTAAAAAAATCCCTACATTCCGTTCACATTAATATCTGCACACAGACTTGATTTCATATCACTGCTATTTTGGCTGACTCTAACATGACTTGATAGTATAATTTCATTACTGGCTAAAGTAGTTGGGAAAGAGAGGAGGGATTCTTTTCTGACACATTAATCCTGTGGTTATCCATTCATATGGCACTTAAGATCCTCCAGCAGGTACTCCGAATTTGTTTGGGCTTTTTTGCTAAAAACATTCAGAATGACTTTGCTGCCGCAAGCAAAGTACAGAAGCAGATAAAAACACAACAAGGATAAAGTTAAGTGCAATCTACTTACTACTCCGATGTGACACAGTAAGACTGAGCTCTGAGGATTGATATCGAGTGCTTTCTGGAAATGCATTTCTGCTAGACTGAACTTTTCCTGTTTGTAATAAATCATTCCCAACCCATACCTGCAAGCAGAAAAACAATTCTGTTAAGTAAGACTGTATTCTAATCAAATTACTGTTTGTGTGAATGCCAGTGAATATGACCTGGCAAAAATGGTCTGTAGACTTGCCAACCCCATCCAGGGTGGGAAATGATTTCTTGTGGGGTAAAAAAAGGCTTTTTCTAAAATTACATTCTTCTAATCAATTCTTCAAACCAACCAATTGGTATCTGATACACAGGAAGACTGGCTAAACAGCTACAAAGTAAGAAGCATAGAAAACTTTCTCAAGACTAAGTGACTTACACTAGCAGATCTAACTTGTACTGCTTTACATATGTTTTCCCCCCACAGAAAGAGCTGTAAGAAAGAGCTGTAAGAAACTAACTGTATCCTAAGGTAGAAAGGGGCAGATCTCTCATCTCTCCAACTGCAAGTGAAGAACAATCAACTAGATGCATGAGGAGTGCTGCACAGAAGAACAAAATAACTGGGGTAATACAGCCAAGAAGATACGTGGAAACCAAAAAAGCTTCAGTTTTCACCCTTCTCGTGGAAGGAACTGTTTAGCAAACAGATGAGGCCTGCATCTTCTGCAGAAGAGTGGTAGGGAAACGGGAGCAGTGGCAGCATCTGGAAGATATTTCTCCAAAAGGTCTGTATCACATGCAACAGGAGGGGGATGAAGCAAAACTTACCATGCATTATAGTGCCTAGGGTTGACTCTGATTGCATTTCTAAAACAAGCTAATGCTTTGTCTAGTTCTTCTGTTAACACAAATTCATGCCCCAACAGGGTGTAGGCATAAGCATAGTTTGGATCAACTTGAATGGCTCTCTGGAAGAACTTGATTGCAATGTCATGCTCTCGTTGCAAGCTGAAACAGTTTCCTGCAGCACACCATGCCTAGTAAAGACAGCATTGCAAAATTAGCACACTTCTTACAACTCAGCGTGACTAAGTTTGACCCCAACAGATTTTTCCACACTGCTTTACATAACTACCTATAACTTCCTCCTAGATAAAGAAAGTAACAATAGTAATAAATCAACAGTTAGTTAAGCCTCATTCCTGAGAGGCAGATAGGCCTAAATACATCTTAGAGCTAGACAAGCTGAAATACAGTAACCAAGAATCTAAGGACACACCAACAAGTTTGTGCCAGTTACATACTTCAATGACTAACAACTAAAGCTCTTGAAGCTGTTGAGAAGGCTAGAAATAAGACATCTCAGATATTTAAGAATAAGAAGGGGGAGATAGTACATTCACTTTCACTCCTTAGCTCCCTCCAGCTGACAAATCTGGAAATCTGCAAAGCAACAATTTTAGCAGCAACCTCCTCTAAGCATTGAAATAGTAAAGCATCACAGCCCAGGGTCCCCAGCTTTCCCAAACTGTTAGCATTACTGCCAAATCACGTAACGGTTCTCCACTCCTTGTATTAGAATCCGTATTAGAATCTCCAGACTATCTTACTACAACTACCAACTGCTTCATTGGTTTTGATTTTCCCACTATTAGACATGCTAACGAGACATCCTGTACAGGATTCTTTCATCCAACAAAAACATCCCAATATAATCTACAGCTTTTTCAACTCTGTCAAGAACACGTTTATAAATGCACACATTATTACTTTTACTGTGGCACCTACTCAAAAGATGCCTGGCTTTTTGGGTATCAGGACTTTATACTACCACACACACAGCAGTTTAACCGTCTTTGGCATAAAAATGTGCAACATTATGTTTGAGAATAAAAACTACAGCAAATAGGTTTTAAGTGCCAGTGAATTAACTACAGCAATTAAAAGGTGGTACAGGAAAAAGATACTCCTTATCTTCACATACTGGCAGCAGCAGGAGTGACTAACCCATGATCTTCCTGGATGAATGGTGCCAATGCAAATTTAAATAACCATTAACAGATAAAAGGTTTCAACCTGTTCCATGTAAGCTGATATTCTAATTCTAAGAAGCCATTTCAGGCATCATCAGTTCAACAGGCAATCCTGCCACCTCCCCCTCCAGTTTTGCCATGCAGTTCTCACAGGAGAACCCACGTGAACTAGACTAGAGTTCAGAGCTTTGTTCCGAATAATTGATTTTACCACATACAGTTACTCTCTTCTCATTCAACACCACAGCGTTTTATACCTCTGGTGAGTTTTTATCCATGTCCGTCAAATCCTTTGAAAGAACCGAAAGAGCAACATCTTTCTGCAGATGCCACAGTGTAGTCGAATAGATCTCCATGCCTTCTACTCTGTAGTTTTCAATCCTCCTTACTTCTGAAAATATTCTCTCAGCCTAAGAACAGAAATTAAACCTTAAAACAAAATTCCACCCACCAAAGCAGAGCACACAAGTCAAGGTCAGAAGCCTCGGATGTCCAGAGAGCATCCTCTTTGCTTTGTACTACGCAGAGTTACAAGTCCTGTAACTTCCCCTTCAAGCAAAGGAAGCGACTATACCCCAATATAGTTACGGCAAGCAGAAATGCAGCAAGCCCTCCCTACTGCTGACTAGGATTACATTACTGTTTCTATCACAGCACACAAGCAAGGCAAAGAAGTTTTTTCTGCAAAATCAGAAAAAACGTAACATACTTTTACAGGCCAGTTACGATTATTAGCCATTCTAATAGATGACAGGTATCGCATTCATTCCAGTGCTACATCCCTCCAAACATTGTGCATAACAATTACAGGGCAAAAGGCAACATGACAATCACTGCAGTAAACACGGCTGACACAGGGATGAGGGCATACATAAGCATGCGACAACACATATGTGCTTTACTTTCATTTGTGACAGCTACGCTTCCTATGAACAGTTGACTCGAAGTCTTTCTAACATAGATATCTATTTCATAAACTTAAGTTCCAGGTTACATCACTCAAAGCAGCAACAAGGGAAAAAGGCTAGCTTTAGGAAGTCATTAAGCTCTGTACCCTCAGTTTTCAAGTAGCACAGTGTGCTTCGTTTCTCATCAGACTACGTATACAGTTTAAAAAACACTTCTGAAACCTACCGCATTTGTCTCCTGCGCTCAATCTGTCAAAAAGTGTTTTAAAAAACTTCTGAGAAAACAGGCACATCAGCTATTAGGACAATAGCGACAAGGAGAGTTGAACTGATGGATTACCCTTAACCACTCGCTTCTGTTTCAGAAGTGGTCTGAGATCACCTCAGCTGTGCCAATGCTGTAATTTCTGAGGCTGCAAAGGAAACTAGGTCATTGATGTGATCTCCATTAACTTAAAAAAAAGGGTGAGAATTGTTTCGGTGATCTAATTTACAACATTGCAGTACAAACAATTACATCAGCACAGCTGTGGGTGAAGACAGGGCGAGGCAAGGAGGAGACCCCAATGGTTGGATGCAAGAGGAAATAACGTTAGAAGAAATCTAAAGTGTAACTCGGCCTCTTCAGGAAAGCTCAGTGACGACTGGCTGCTGCAGATTCAAGACCTAAATCCATTCCGGGTATAACTTTTATGTTTATACAATTATCTTAACTGTCAACTTCCCCATAGCTTTTGCAGGAAGCCTGCAGGTTTTTTGCAAAGCTATGCAAAACAAAAGTGAAAAGAGTAAGAACCGATCCACACAGTTCCTACCTGCATATATTCTGCAAGTTCGAAGTAAGCTCTCCCAATTTGGCATAGCACCCAGCCAGTGTTGTAGTGGTGGGACGGTAAATGGCTTAAAATATTTATCGCTTCTTTGCAGTTGTATGAACACAAGGCTAAATAACCTTTCCCCATATCACGGAGAAGGCTCATCAAACCTTCTAGGAGAAAAATACAATAAATAAAAGTGGAAAGAAAAAAAAGACAGCTAAGACTTATTTACTTGAAACTGCTAATCCCATAAGCTCTTCATTGTGGCAGGCACTGCTCCCGAATTTGCTTATGAACATCTTTTGGGAGTTCCCAAACACAGGCCTATGCACTCTTAATTTAGGCACAATATTCTAAACATCAACCTTTGTAATGGAAGTCAGATAGTAACAACTTCTTAAGCCAGCAACAGAACACTCAGGAACAGAGAAACCCTGAAGTTTGCGGCAACTGGAGTTCTGCATTTACAACAGCTATTCAAACATTTTGTTAGGTCTGAACACAGTTTCCACATGTCTGGTATCCATGGATACCTCTTCTTGCTGCCTGGAAACATTATCGAGCCAAAAGAGAGGAATTCAGCAGTTTGTCTAGGATTTTCTGACAATCTGAATAAAGACTTGTTTTTAAACAAATGGGAAATAGGAAGGGAGAACAGACGACAAGCTCGATTTTGAGGGAAGATGACTGGGTTCCTCATAGCTCCTTTGAATCAGTTTCTGAGGATCTTGCCTGAAAATATTTTAACCATTAATAATAAGGAATAAGCCTGCAAGATATATCTGCTTACAACTAGCCACTTTTTACTACTACTTCACATGTTCTCTGTGAGTTAACTAGAAGATACTGAATTCAATGTCTTTATAATTATACAAAGGTGATAGCTGCAGGCTAACTGAAACAAGAAAGAAACCAACACTGGAACAAAACATTTTTTTCATTCAACCTTAAAATATAGATATAATGAAGTTTTACTTTACTACAGTCCAACAGCATTCAAACAGACCTGCTGCTGCCTTCTGTAGTGTAAAAGCCTGGATCTGTGGTGCCACAGTGGAAATTTTCCCTTCTGAAATGATGGAAGAGTCCAGTTTGGTAATTTCCAAACTGTCATTTAAGTTTGGTTGAGTTATTCCTCCCTTATTTGTTTTACTTTTTGTTTTTCTGTTTGGAATCTTAGGTGGAAACTTCATTTTTAATTTTTTGCTATTTTCCTGCAAGTAAGAAGAATAAGAGTTAGAGATATATATATTATTTTATATTCAGGTAACTAAACATGAAAGCAAATTGTGTAAAAATGTATTTATGCCTCTTTGCAGCCCTAACAACGATGCCCAGCCATTTGACTTCTAAACTTAATCACACAGACACTCGGTAGCTTCACTGAATATGTTTACTGGTTCTTTTTTAAACAGCAAATGTTCACATTACCTAACTACAGTCCATGAGTATTTGCACTTTGGTGTTCTGCTCCACTGCTTGGAGAGCAGAAAACTGGAAAATAACTTTGTTTTCACACACAAAAAATGAATTCTTCAAATACACGTGAACACCACAACCTCTTTATCAAATAACAGCTAGTGGCATCACTGTACTTGTCAATCCAGCGTCTTTTTTTTTGTTTATGATACTCTTCTTCCCACTATTTTAGTTGAGTACTTGAGAGCTGAAAAAATAACCTATTATGGCATCATGACATGTTTTGTCCAGCCAGGTATTTCGTAAGTTCTGCTCATTATAGAACCTGTTCTTAAGCTGTCAGAACTGCTACGCATATAGGGAAATCATTAGTCAGTACAGTGGCACGGGCAAGAAACCCACAAGTTTGTAAAACACATGAAGTTTGTTACCTTTGTTGTAGAGCTATCACTGGTAAATAGGCGAGAGCTTCTTCGAGGCAGTGCATTTGGTGGAGCAGCAATTGTTGGGCTCAGTACCTGAGGTGTTGTACTGAAAAAAAACAGCACATTAAAATCTAAAGTTATTCACTCCATTTTTAATAAAACCAGCTTTTATCTTTGTTTTGAACAAAAATGCTTAAGTACTATAGCACAGATATCCCCATTGCAAGGGAGGAGAAAAAATAAATCTACCTGTTGCATGTTAAGAACATGAGCAGAATTTTCTTCCAGTTATTTTTTCATTTATTGATGAACGGTCTAACTGCAAAGGAGATTTAAAACAAACAGACCAACCACCACGCACGAGCTTCTTTCTTATCCATTGAAGTTATTTTACCTAACAAAAAAATACACTTCTTCCTGATCCAAAGAGGAATTCTGCAGGAACACCCACACAGGTTGGGCAAATAAAGAACCAAATTCCTTCAAGAAAGGAGATGCAAAAGGTAGTATCAAGATGATTTTTTTGTTGTTGTTGTTTTCCCCTACCTTGTCTGTGGGCCAGAGCTCTGTGTTTGTGCAACAAGAATTGGAGTGACTTCCCGGCTATTTCCGCTCTGTGAGAAGACAGATTTTGTTCCAGCTTGGCTTATCCTGCTGACAGTCTGCATAACACAAAGTTTCTACAGGTTTGTTATTATGTCACTAAGAAATCTCAATCTCTGCTATATCACACCAAATCCATTCTGCCTATCAAATATTGCACAAAGGAGGATTAAGTATAGGATAAATATACGTTATTTCAATAAAGAATGAGGGTCCCCCTCCAAGGAGCACCCATCAAAAAAGCATTTTTCCTCTTCCTACCTGTTAAAATGCCAATAACAGCATTTACCAACTTCATGCACTTTATTTGAAAGATATAGAACCTCCATCTAGTGGCAAGAAACTATATGTTAAGATGTTAGTGCAAGAATAAAAGGGAATGAAGATGATGTCACATTTAAAACTTCCTTCTCCACAGAAAGTTGTACCAAAAAACACAACCATGGAGAGAAAAAGATTTTTGAATTATCATATCACAATCACCTCCAGAAGCCATTCACCATTAACACCTCATTGAGGTGCTCACTGTACAACATCTGAGTCTGCTGCTCCCGTTTAGCACACCTGTTCATAGCATAAATCAGAACTTCATAAATTGAATCATTACTGCATGGGCTTTTGGAACAGATACAGAAATAAACTACTTCATCAGAAAGGGACCTGCATTATGCAGCATAGAAAGTTAATAGATACCTACAGCCAAGTTAACATGGAGCAGCAAGTTGCTGCACGTCAGTTGAGCAATGCTTTGTGTGCACACGCAATTTTTTGTACCTTTTATTTGCCACAAGGTACAAGCATGCAATATGACTTAGCACCAAAACATTGTCTTATATCTTCACACATCTTCAGAGCGCTAAAATGTGCACTTTGATGCCTACCCTGGAACCGCTGACGTGTGGGAACTTAAGAGCTGTGATAACTTGACTGTGAATCTGATAGAAATTCATTGTCTGATGTGTAGACCTCTTATAAAGGATTCAGAACAGGTCCTCCCCTCCATGCCTTTAAGAAAGCTTACACCCTATCTTTCTGCCTACTCTAGGGATGCCAGCATTCAACTCAGCTATGGCTGTTTGGAAGAGATATTCTTTAAGAGACCAGAAATAGGTAAGTGGGATCAATGACAGCACAAGCAACACCAGTTTATGCATTATCTAACTTCTAACGTTCTGTCCTTCTCTTCCCTTCTCAGTTTCTTCATTATCAGAGGACAGTTTAAGCAGCCAGCAAGCATGCTTGCCCACTCACATAGGAAGGCTTTGGATCCATCCTAATGTTTCATTCATTTACGTAAGTGTTTCCTAGGAAACTGGCTCCGTTAAGTCATGCACATTCTAGCCACAGCTACACTAAACCTCTTCTAAGTGGGTAATTTGAAGAGCAGAAGTGAAAGTGGACAAGTGATTCTTTGCATTGGACAAAGCAGGCATCAGAATGCTAAGCTGTTTATTAAAATGTATTAAATATTTGTGTTTGGTAATAGCACAGATGCATCTGGGCAGAAAGCATATGCACCGCTTAGCAAAATTTACACCTCGGTGCTGTTACACCATACCTAGCAAAGCAACAAAGGAGCAACTATGACTTGATTCCCCAAAGCTTTTCACCTACCACATAGTACGCACATGAGGTTAAATGCAGATAAGTACCACCCTGAAGAGCTACACTTTGCTAACTATTTCAATTTTTAAGGCTCATGACCCACCCACATAGGCACAACCCACCACAAGCCAGCATTTTCAACTACACCACGGAAAACTGGTTGGTCCTGAGCAAGTACAGGATAGAAATTGGATCAGCCATATGAAGCACAGTTCTAGCAGACTGTTTTAGCACAGTCCAGCCCCAACAGAACAAAGGCAAAAGAAAAAAAAGGCAGGAGTAAGAACTGATAGAAAGTGTTGCAGTAATAACATGTGTAGAGACAGGATAGCATTATGGCTTGTGCAATGAGATCCCAGAGTTCCCAGTCACAGGCTTCCGAAGACCATCCAAAAAGTTACCTGCTTACTGGCTTTTATTAAGTATTGGGCCAATAGGAGAAGACAAATGCACTTTTTAACAGCTCCCAGATTTCACTTGCAGAATGGCACAGCAAGCTGAGCACCAACTGATTTGTCCAAAGCATCAAACGGGGAAATTCAAGTTCTACTTTTTTAGGAATTAAACACTATTACTTGCACCGAGTTTTTACTTTAAAGAGTTGGCCACCTATAAAACACTAGTGTTCCTCATGTGACTTCTGGATTTACTAAAAATACAGGGAGAAATCCTCAGGTTTTTTGTTTTTAGAAAGGAACAAATGGTTCTTCAACTGTCACCAACATTCCACCTCTCATTTATCACTATGGCAACTATGGCAGTTTCTTACGAAGTAAAAAAAGACAATTTTTAGTTTCCTCTACATGTTACATAGCCGGGTGAAACAGCATCCTTCTATCAGTCAGCCCTCCACAGGCCACCAGCAACACTTTGATTACTCCGGTCTCTAAACCAGAATTCAAGAACTGCTTGCAAGAAAGCAGTAGCTTCAGCTCACTTGAGGCTTCCAGGATTATTTTAAATCATCCCTGAAAGTGAAAAACTTCAAGTTTAGACTACCTTCGGACTCCACCTTGCACACTGAAAAGTTATGAATCCTTCGTTATTTCGAATCAGTGCTTGTACATTCCTCTGATGGCAGGTGGACAGAGGATATGGCACCTTCCTCAGGTTGCCTCTAGCAACACCAGCCAGGCAGTCTGCACATGCCTGTGCATTTCAGGTGGGGAAAAAAGGCTTGCTTTAATTAGAAATAAAACACTATTTCTTATAATTATAAAAGTTAATAAAACAAAAATGTTTTGCTAGCCAAAAGAAGTGCACAATAGCTGAAAACATTTACAACACAGACAACTTTACTTGAGATAGTGTATTTTTTTTCTTGCTGCCTCAGTTGCTTAGCTGAAAAGAAGCTTTTCAAAATAAAAAGCTATTGAGCCTTTAGAAACAGTTGTTTCAGTGTAACAGACTATTCTACAGCGAACTTGATTTTAACTAACACTTCAGAAAAGTCTAAAAAGTTTTGTCAGGGAGATACCTAACCAGTTGTAGTCAAATTAAAAATAAACTTGTTCCTGCACCCCAACCTCACTAGCCTATAAATATACATAGGCTGGTGAACAACATTTTATTTTCCTGCATGAATTAATTGTTAGTAAGAGCAGGGGTGTTGCCTGGGTTGAGGTTTTTGTTTGCTTTGTAGAGAAGTTATACAGAAATTTAATTCTCTATTAACTCAAACCATTTCCACAATCAAAGGAGCGATCAGTCAGTTCCACACTCAAACTGTTTTTCAAAACAAGTTTTGTAAACAGGGGGTAAGTTGGGTTCTCCCCACTGTCAGCACAATTCAGCTCATATGCAGTGTTTTTTAAAGAAGAATCCATAATGCAGATAAAGTAGACTGCATTATCAAATTCATAGAACAACAATCACATTCTAGAATGCAAGATACCTTCTTTGAAGGTGCTCCGGTGGTTGGCACATCAATTACAGAAGAAGAGTTTGTGTAGTTTTGTAAATACGATCCATCTCCAGGGCTTGGGGTTTCTAGTGGCAAAATTCCAAAGCTGAGAAAACAAAGAGGAAGGGTCAAAATCTAGAGTGTTAGATCATAACACCTGGCCTGATTCTGTGGTTAAAAGAGACACCCAGATGATCAACTTAAATCAATCCATAACACCTGGCCTGATTCTGTGGTTAAGAGACACCCAGATGATCAACTTAAATCAATGAAGTAGTTCCGAAATAACGTTAACTCTCTAACATATTACTATCCTCATCTATAAAAGACACTTTAATAGAAAGTATTTTTATTCCTGAAACCGAAAAATACAGAACTAACTTTGCCTGCATAATACTAATAGACACAGACCATCCAAGTATCAGTGGCTTCTAACAAAGCGCTGTTTAAAAAAATGGCATACAGGACAGAGAATATATTTACATGCTCTTTGGAAAACAGTGATTCTTCAAGGAATGCTCTTAAGAGTTTATTTCAGAGCATACTCCTTTAAAGATTTTTCCAGTGTGAACATTCAACAAGCAATAAAAAGGAATCAAGAGTTTCTTCTCTTCTAATCAAAAATACCAACTGCTCGTTTGAAAAAAAACCAAAACACAGAAGAGATGAAGACTAAGACCAAGAGCAGTTACTGAAGTTGTTTAGCTTTTGCGTCTGCAGCATTATTTTAATACACTATCAACACGCATGTCCGAGTACGCTGTGCAGCAGACATCTTCCCTGTTTCAAATCACAAACACTGTCAACAGCACAGCTGTAGACAGAAATAGTCTATCTCAAGGACTTACCTTGGAGTTAGTGGGCTCAAAGCTGCAGGTCCCCCCAGTAAACTCCGACCAGTTTTTGGTTTATTTTGAGCCTGTTTAGACAATATGGCAGTTCCTGACCCAAGAGGGACAGCATCTGGAGATATTACAGACGAGTCAATGTAAGACATAGAAGAATCTGTGTTCAAGGAGGAATATTTTGAATTGGAGGATTCTAGGTTGATTCTGTTCAACTCCTGAAAAACGGAAGGCAGCTGTTAGACACCCACATGGTGTAGTTCCTAATTATCAGTTTTCAGTTAAGCTGGAAAGACTACCCTAAATACAATTATTTTAGCAAAACTCACAATTGTGTCTTGTGGCGTTTCCATAAGGACAGTCTCAGGCTGTCTATGGGATATGTTGTGATTAGATACCAACGTTGTGCAAGTGTTAGGCAGACAGCTGCTGAAGTTCTGCAACGATGTTAACTTAAATGTTTGGTCAGGGTCTGGTTTTTCACCTGCGAGATTGGAAGGAGATTTAAATAGAGTTACTCCTGATTCTTTACGCTGAATGTTCAGGCTGAAACAAGGAGGACAGGGGACAAAGGACTTTAGAAGAGGTGCATTTTTATTTCATTCTTTTAAAACCCCTTATGCTAAATCAGAAGTGTTCCTCCACTACAAAACCCTGGACAATCAGTTTTATTAAAAACAAACAAACAAACAACAACTTGCTTTTTTAACTAATTCTCAGAATCATAGTTTCTAAGGGTCTACTAAGTGTAGGTTGGAAAACATGTAGTATTGTGAAATACAAAAATGTGTAAGTAGTGAAAATAGAAGACGAGGCAAAAAGCTCTAAACGCTGGCCAAATATTTTAAATGCATTATTGCTCAGAAAACCACTCCCAAATAATTCTGCTGGCATTTTCCTTACCGGTTCTAGACAAGGAGTAAAATAAACCTTGCCACATGGCAATGGCAAATCAGAAAGCTTGACATAACCAGAAACGTAGAAGACATCTTCACTAGTAAAACAGTGCTGCAGACTCACCTATTTCACATAGCGACTCAAAAGGGGACCAGAGGAACGGATTTAAACTAAGGCTCTTTTGGTAACATTCTGATCCTTTGGCAAGCCGGTCTGTCTTGCTGCAAAAAGAATGTAACAGTTTACAGGGAAACTTAAGAACCACACTTTTGTTCAAGCGAGCTTTCCAGAAGATGAGTTAAAAAGCAAAAACATGTTGAGAGTCACAGCAACATTCCTCTTTTTAAGCCACAGAGTAATATTGAGTTATTTTGAAGTTATCTGACATATTTAGACACAGATGAAAATTGCTTAGACACAGTCCTCAAAAATAAGTTACGTAAGCACTAAGATAGTTTGAGAATTTTCCTTTTAGAAAGGTGCTGTTCTTTGCAACAGCTTTTTTCTTTTTTTGCAAACAGCAACCTGATTGCAAGCCTTCCAGCCATTTTAAATATCTATGGATAATATTTTTGCATATAAATCAGTGGGTAAACTGAACACCTAAGTATCTGGCTACAATATCTTTGTGATATTTGTGATAATACCTTCCTCTGAAATAAATTTTGAGAACAGGTATACTTGGGAAGAATCCAAGAACCCCACTGTTCTTATTCAATCTGTTTTTTTCACATTTACTGAAACCTTTCTTGTACTGAAGCCTACACAACAGCAAAACACTTAAATTTGTAAAGTTATTCTGACTAGCAGTCCTCAAAATTTTCATTTGAAGGTTTTAGCTATACATCTGCAAAATAAACACAGAAAAATCAAAATGGCAACACTGAGAAACAGGCCTTGGGAGTTTCTGTTAGGAAAGAATACAGAACAAACCCAAAGGTATTAAAAACACAAAACCAAACACTCTTGGATTGCATGCTTAACAACCTGGAAAAGAGGAATTTTGTGTTCTCAGTCAGTTAGAAGCTCTGGTTACGACAGGAACGACAAACTGTTCTTGCATTCCCAGGTTAGATAGCTTCCAGAACTATCTACCTGCATCTATCATGCTCCAAAATTGTGCAGGTCATATAGCCCAGAGAAAGGTGTACCCTGTGGTGACTAAAAATTTGACTAAAATTGGGCTTGGTCAAATTAAAAGACCCAAGCTTTATTAGACAAAATTTAAAAAAGCAACATTACCAGTAGACATGTCCCAGTAAGGAGAGTGTAAAGCATGCAGAGTCACCAAACTCCATAACAATGTCATCATGGCTTTTCTGTTTATTCAACACTCCACCAGATAAGATCTGCTCTCCTTCTGCAAGCCTTTTTAAAAAACAAGAGGTTTAAAGGGGTTACAAGGCTCACAGTATTGGTAGTCCAGTGTTTTCACCCTGCTGCAAACAAAAACAGAAATCCACTGTCAGTGTTCACAAGTTTCAAGCCACATACAAACTAGATCCTGCAAACAAATTTTAAATAAGTGATGGATTCTTCTAGCAACATGGAGGTATGCAGCGCTCTGAAGCCGAACATCTCTATTGGGAGGGGGAGAAAAAAAAAAACCAACCCAACACCCCACACCACTCCAAAACCAGAGACACTTAATACAACATGACTTTTCCAGCAGTGCCTAATCTTAGGCAGAATACTAAATGGAGGACAAGAAAGTCTTCTAGACACTTCATTTTTGAAGGTACTTTACCTAATAAAGCTAAGATAGCACTTTGTATTTCTTAGCTGGGAAACAAAGACAAACTATCTAGAACGTTCCACGCACTCAGTTAAAATCCAATACTGGGATATGGCAGACTTCGGCTTTTAACACCTTGCTTTCTTGCAAGAGGGTCTCAAAAGGAGAACAAAGGCTTAGTTTGCATCGACTACACCTGCAGCGAGCAGTACTGCTCACGTGGAATGGGCCACTCACTATTAGGCTTGAAAATTACTTTATACAAGTTCCAGGGATGGAAGGCATTCTTCTGGCATTTGAGACCGACACTTGCACAAACAAATCATCTCTTCTTGCCATCACATGAAATTATACTTGTAGGTAGATGCTTCTATCAGTATAGACCATTCCCACAAGGAAATAAGGTACATCTGTATAAATGAGTTCACATAACTCTAACAGCAACAACAGTTAAATTTAACAAATTCTAAAGAATACATTTAAGAAGTCACACCTATCTAACAGAAATCAGTTCAGAAGCTGATGTATTATACACACACAGCAGACTTTGCAAAAGCAAGGGAGGGAACGAACAGCTTCGAATTTATTCCACTGGGACCTTTCCAAGTAGAGAATTAACATGACTTCCCTTTCAACAGAAGATGCAAAGAAACCTGTATCCTAATAGCTCCAAAAGCGTTAAAAGAAACACAAGCCAAGACACCCTTCTACTCTAAAAATGTCAAAGGACTCAACTACCACAGAGAGTATCAAAGACTAAGGAGCTTCCCCTGCTGCCTCTGGAGAGATCTGCATTTTGGTTACATGCTGTGGGTAGGATCACAAATCCTGCAAAATAATCTTGTCATACTGTGTGAATCTCCAAACATCACGTTACCTATTCTAAAGAAATTAAACCTTTTTTTGGTCATTGAAAGAAGACCACTCAAAAAAACCCACCAACAACAAACCAAAAAAGCCACAACACATGACCACAAACTGTTTTGTAGAGAAACATTTAAACGTCTGTAAAGAACCACTACAGTATTTCAACTTTTTTGAACTAAGGTTTTTGCCTTCCTTGGTGCCTCATCCTCTCCGTTCTACACCTCAGCCAGACATTGTTTCCTACATTTAAGCTGCAACAGCCTGAAGGGTCTACATAGGAGTGAAATACCCTCACCAACAACTCCCAGGGCATTAGGGCCTGTAGCTTGAGCAATTTCATTATATGCTCTTGCTGTTAGGCTCCAGAAACCCCAGAAGATACCTTGACATTGCTGTATCTGACATCAAAATTAACTTTGACAAGAACATAGTATTCTCAGATGTGGACTCAAAGTGAGTTTGTTGCAGGTTTTTAAAAACAGGTTTCTGTCTGCCATCTTTTCCCCCACCCACCCATTAGCAGTAACTGGGTGAGCTTACTGTTTGAGGGAAGCAGCCTATCCATTACATTCATAGTGGAAACACTTAAAAAAATAAGTGAAGTGTCAGCAAAACAAACACTTCTTCCCAGAGTGATCTCCTTGAGTCATATCAGTAATCAGTGTTTTCTCCCCCTACACAGTTTGGCAGCTCCTTTGCGAGTTATTCAATACCTTTCAGACGTTTCTGCAATATGGGTCCACGTCTGTATGAATTGAACTTATAATCTTTAGAGCTAAAGGACCAATGAATTACTAGTTTATGCAATATGACAGCTTTTAAAGAAAATTCCAAACAAAAAATGCATTTGTAACCCTGGACAGAACGTAAAGGATTTACTTACTTGCTGAGGTCAACACAACATTTTGCAAGCAGGTATTTACATTGTGGGGTAGTACAGCTGTGTCCCTTTAGGAGCCTGTACGCTTTATATGCCTTTCCTGAGCGGTAGTAACATGTTGCCAGTAAAAACAGTGCTTCTTCTGAATGTACTAAAAAATAAAAAAAAAATTTAGAAATCAGTTGGTTGTTCACCATTTTGATATAAGGAATTTGGGAGCAGGGAGTAAAAGACAGCTAGGAACAAGGCACAAGAAAACAAGTATTGATATTAGAGAAATTCTTTACTGAATGAAGTGCATTTCTTTATTCACCAGCATATAACAGACTTCCATTTGCTTGTACAGTCAGACCAACTCTCAACATCAAAGTTCTAAGAGAACTTTGATCTTTCTGGCTACCTAATCTAAATAAGTGATTAGCCAGCTTGTTAAAATAACAGCAAGTCAAGCAAAGCAGTCATTCCCAGTAGAACAGAGCTACTTTAACAACTTGTTGGCCACACCAAGACCTGGCTCAGTTATCACACCTGCTAGTAACACTTTGCACTAGCTTAAGCAGTGCATAAACACTGGCATAATGGCTGTGAGGATGTACAAGAACTTTCAGAAGGAAGATCTGTTTCAGCCTAAGTAGCCTAATTACAATTTTAATCCTAATTCCAAGTGGTCTTTTCCTGTTTGCAATTTTACTTCTGTTATTTTTCTAAAGCACTTGATGCTATATCTTCACATGACTTAGAGGAGCAGATTTTCTGATTTTAATGACTATTAAAGTCAGTCAGTTACCAGTCATCTCTACCCCAACATTAAGTCTTGTCCTTTTTGCTGCCATCATCATTTCATTGGGAACATGGCTTAATATTACCATTCAGATGCTTCATTTATTTTACGTTAGAAAGTAGCGATAGGGACAAGCTCTCCTACAAATACTCTTCCCAAGATGAGTCCTCACAAGTTTCTAAATTCTGAATGAAGTAGTCAAGCTTCAGGAAAAATCATCTCTATCTAGACAAAGAATAAAAGTAAACAAGACAGAAGCATTCCTCTATGGCAGAAACTGGAAGTATTTAGATTTGTTGTCTGCTTCAACACTTCTTCCACTGCAGAGATGAATTATGTACTGCATCGAGAATATTCTATTCTCAGAGCTTGACTTGGCATCCAGATTTAAGACTGAGGTCAGATGTGCCGATTTTACCCGTAATTACAATGTAAAGGGCAGAGAGCTAACCCTTGAAGTAACTTTAAAACCTTACTGTAAAATTATCAGCTGAAACTTTAAACGCCAGAGAACGCACTTCTGCGAGGCAACAGTGAGCATTACCATGCCGTGGTGTTAATCTAAGCATTAAGCTATCATTGTGTGAAATATCTATATGACTTCATTTTAACTCTGTTTTCTGGGTTTTAAGCAAAATGTGGGAGATACCCAGGTACGCTCACAGACTATGTACAGCCATGGTGTCTTACCCTATTCTTTGTACTACCCCCAAATGTTACACTCAAATCACCCTTATGCAATGATGTATTTTAAATCAAAGGCAGGCAAGCAACTTAGATCTCCAACCAATTAAGAAACCCACATTACTTTATACTTTTCAGAACACACTACCATGCAAATGGAATTCAGCATTAAAAGAAACAGTTCTGATGTTTGTTTATCCACCTACATGGAACACTTCAGAAAAATCAGTATGAGCATTGTACAAAAAGCTCTTTGGGCAGCCTGCTCAAATCCTTTGCTACACTGAAAATTGACTATTTTACGTCTGTGTCATCACCCAGACAGTGATAATGGAAACTGAAGACCCAAAGAGAGGACATTTTATTAGCCTTATCCTAAAAACACCAGAAGATCTTTTTGAAAATTAAAGTTAAATCAATTCTCTTATCCGCTAATTTAACACACTTTGAGTTCTGGGAAACTACCATGCCACAGATGTCCCCACAAGGACAGTAATTGCAGGTGGACTTAAAAGAAGTTCTTCTCGGGGTAAAATCACTACTGCCAACATGAAGTCACCATATTCAAGTGTAGCAGCTTCTCCTCTGCAGTATAACTACTTGTTTTAACCAGAAGACAGATGTTTTGTTAGCAGTTAATAGCCTGAACCAAGTGACAGCACGCATGCTGTTCTCTCTCGGCACTGTTGGTCACCGAAAAAAGCTGTTTGAAGTACTCTTGCAGAGTATTATTCTGCAGAGATAGCACCAGTATCAAATCGTGTATTTTTCTCTTGGCTGCTGCAAAAAGTGGGGTCTTTTCTACATCCTTGGCAATTACCTTCAGTCTAGCATTTCCCTGCATCTCACAATGTGCTGTGTTCAGGGGTGATATGTCATCCCTAAAACACCGTTTCATTTATGTACACCTAGATGTTATGAGGTTCCATAATATTCTACAAAACACTTTGCATTTAAGCGCCAGATGGAAGACCCCAGATTTCATGCGTAACCTTGACATGAGGAAAAAGTCTTTATTTCTCATAAATTAGGTTTGTGCTTCCTTTGTTAAGTACATTGTGGGCATGTCAGGCAAAACATTGAAAGCAAAACATTTCATTACAAAATATGGCACATGAAACCGGTTATATGCCTCAATTCACATTATAAGCTCAAGTTGTTTAGCACGAGGACTTATATTATGCTTATATTTTAGCTTAAGGTCTGGGTTGGTTTTTTTCATGTTGGTGATTAGAGCACAATACCTTTCAAAATAGAGAAGAAAAGCTGAACACCAGCATCAGGGAGAAAGAAGTAGAAAAGAACAAAAAGCTTATCTGAGGTCACGGAGGAAAGTTAAAGAAGAAGCAGCACTATATGACAAGAAAGTGGTCTTTGAAAGACGCAGGAAAAGTACAGATCTGTGTTACTGTTGCCTGCTCAGTATCCAAGACATCCTAGATCTGACAGCATTAAGTGAAGTAACAATTAACAAGAATTCAACAGGAGATACCTAGTCCACGTGTTCCAATTCTCATTGTCTCAGTTTCACTGTGCTTTTCTCTCATCATCACAAGATTACCTCTTCCAGCTAACACACCAATCAACATATCTGCTTAGCAAAGACAGCTTGCAATATCAAGACAATTTGTAGAACTTGTGTACTGCATCTATCCTCAAGTGCCCTTGGGAGACATGCAATGCTTAAGGTTATTTAAAAAGCTCTCCCTTTTGATAACATACAGCAGAACACTTTAAACATTGTACTTAAACACATGACTCTAACTTTTTTAAGGATGTTTTACTGTAAAATAACATTGCTGCTGTTACATGATTTGATTTTCCAACCTAATTGCGAGGCATTCTTCCGCTTTCCCCAAGCAGAAAGTTAAACTTCATTATCACAACAACAGGAGTAAAACAAAGCAAGACTAGAGGCTCAAAATTCCTAAATCAAAACTGAAAAAAGCAGCAACTTTTTATTTGCAAAGTACATACCTTCTGCATATAATCTTTCCGCAAGGAACACTGCATCACGGTAAGCATAGTGGTTAAGTGCTTGCCATATAGCAGCCTGCAAGACAAAGAAAATAATCTAAATTTAGAGAGAAGCTTTAAAAATGCAAAACTCATTAGCTCTTACTGTCAAAAGGCAAAGTTCAGTTTTGTTTTACTGGAGTCATAAGAAGAATGGAGAAGGATAAACATGCAGGCCAGGTTTTAGTTGTTTCAGCTATTAGTAAGGGGACTAAAAAAACCCCGCAAACTTAGCGCTGAAGTCATGAACCAATCTAAGAACGTTGCTCACTCGTCACCATACACAACCATCTATAAACCTCAGCCAACATGCACTGAAATAACAGTGACTACTTCCACTCGTTACTGAGTTTTATCCTGGTGCATAACTGAGCGTGATTTATTGCTAACTACCACCAAACAATAACACATTAAGTAAAGGTAAGAACAAAAAAATACCACCCGACTGGTTACCAAAGTAGTCCATTTTGCTCTTAGCTGTGCCCATGGAGGGGCAGGAGAGCCCCAGGGAAAAAGCTGGAGTGCCCAACCCATTTTAATGGTATTATGCTTAAACCCATTTAAACTATCTCCTCTTGAGAGGTGCCAAACAAAAAATCAACAGGACTAGAAATCACATCAGTGTCTGAGGTTGTCAGTATAATACTGCTGTTGATTAAGTATGTATACTTAATTAAGGTGCACAGCATTTCATTTGAAGAGATATCGGCGTTCCTTTAAGAACCAAGACAAATGCCACTGCTTTTTGTGCGGTGTTTTGTTTGGGTCTTTGCTCATCAGCCACCTCTTTACTGCTACTAATTAGGATTGTGAGGTATCACACAAGAATGAATGCAATGCAAATGAGGTGGACAAATTGATACAGACAGACATATATGAAGGCAACCTACTCTTGCATTTTGCTCGTATACCCCTATTTCGTCAAAACCAGCTACCTGCTTAAGGGTACTATTTTCTTTTTTCATGAACACCAAGCTCAAGTGTTTGGGACTGTCAATATTTGCGCAGGCTCGAAAGATGGCACTACTCCAGTGAAATGCAAATCAAGCGTACATACAGGTGTACAAACTGTGTACACCATTAAAGTAGCTGTCATAATTACTTGCACGGCTGTCACCATTAGCTGAACTACAAGCAAGAGCTGTCCAGCAACAGAATAGGGCTGGGGTACACAGGTCTCACAAACACTACTCAGCCAATTTTCTTCAGATCAGATTAAAAGCCTTCTGTTATCTGTAAAAGAAGGGTGGGATGGGAAAAATAATTCCTTTTAAGATCTACTCAGCCGCTCCTCCCCACCTATTACAAGTGGCAGTGTGCACGCTTATCAGGGTTTGCGGTCTGAGGTTAGCAGGGTTGGGATCAGGACTACGGTTCCTTCCCATCTGGCAGTCTTGCTCAAGTTGCAAAGCAGTTTCCCATAAGCAGCAAACAGCCATTTTGCAGTAGTTTTGTTATTACTGATCCAAATAAGATCTGAACTTAGGAACTCAAGGCACTGTGGTCTAGTATTTCTCCAATATTCATCAGCAACTGAAGACAAACAGAATTAGATTCCAACACCTATTACCAGAGACTCCAAAACTCAAAAAAATCTTCCAGAGCTAAAGAAATAGCGCCCTGTAATGCTATTCCCAGTAGGAAAGGCAAGCGTCAATTTAATCTAAAAAAATTTCAAACATCACATAGAGTTAGTTACATGTACCATATGCTACTTCTTCCAACACAAACTTGACAAACTCAGGGTGTGAAAAATGTGAGAGTTCTCTTCACGGGAAGCCTACACAGTCTTCGTGAACAGTACACACCAGAGTTTCCAATTACTATATAGAATATTATACACAAAAATCTCTACAGAGATACTATTTTCTTCTATCAGTAGGTCCCAACAATATACTAAAGTCAATAGGTTCTTTTAAGCTCGTGTGAAAGTATTTAAGAATGAACTCTCTTAGTTTGATTATTATAATACAAACACCTTATTATTTCTCTTTGGCTGTATTCCACATTTCAGATAACTTCAGCCACAGAGTCTGCTCAGAGTGATTACTCCCTTTTACCTTGAAAAGCTCAAAGGCTCTACATTGTTCTGTGCAGCACAGACAGCATGGTACAAAAAAATACGAGACAGAAGGAGGGTGTTAAAAATCTTTCAGACTATACCCAAGTGAGAGCAGCCCAAGGTCTCCTTTTTTCTCTTGCTCTCAGAAGCAGCTCTTCCTGTATCAAGTCATGAGTGACATTTACTTGAATCTATCCAAGTTGTGCCTTCTTCAGGTTAAAAATACTGTCTTTACAGGGACATAACTCTGCATGCTTACAAAACAAAGGTACGGGGGTGGTGGTGGTGGTGAAATCAATGTCATCTGACTTCTCAAACAGGAGCAAGCTGCCAGAAAAAAGTCTTGCCAAAGGCTAAGAGGGGACACAAGTGATTTTTGGCTGTATCACAGCCACATCATAAAAGTTACACTACCTAGTGGCTCAAAAAATAATCGCTGCTGAGCAGAGTCCCAGTGAAAGCAAGAAGTCAGCTGGTAGTATCCCTGTTATGTAATAATTGTAATTTTGCAACCCAAAAGGTACAAGTTGGACTCATGCCTTCAACAGACAAGGCTGGATCCTTGCACACACTCTCCTAAAGGAGCAGGAAGAGGAAAGGATGGTGGCAGGGAATCAGCCATACCTATGCAGTAACAATTTTCTATTAGAACAGATGTCTGAACTACAACTGTGTCTTGAGACTACTGAAAAAGAAGATTTCTTGTGCACCTTTTAGGAAGCAAATTTTGGAGAGGAACATCAGTCTCTTTATAAAGTAGTAATTTAGTTTGTTCTAGCAGAGGTTCAACGCATCTACAGAGCATTAGCAGCACATGGCAATTGCTAAACCACACCAGAAGAGGGGTCTGAAGCAAAAAACTTTGGGAGCATTTATCCAATAAGACTTATTTAATCCCAAAAGACTTCAGAGCAGGACAAAACAGTACAACCACAAACACAACCTAAATGCAGTCTTAGTTTCCTCCCTATGGTAGTTATCAAATTTTACATGGAACCTGTCAACAGAAATCCAAAGCAGCAGCCTCCTCAAGAGTATGCAAAGCAGTTGAGATACTCTGGTTGCAATGTCTGTTCTCAGGGCTAAAAACATGGACAGGAAGGAAGCTTGAAGTGTTTAAAAGTTTTATTTAAGCATGCTTGCAGACCAGATAAACCTCCAGGTCCTAGTCACTCATTTAAAATACACATTAATTTGCAAATGCAAAGTGAACAGAGAATTCCAAAACTACCATACTGGCCACAGCCCTGCAGCAAAGCATCCTCTGAGAGCAGAGCAAGAAAATAACAGCAGATTCAGAGAGGTCCATCTTCTATCCAGAAGATCCTGTGCCTTGTCCAAGTGTCACTTCATATCTAAGCCAAAGAGCTCTTAAAAGATAGTTGTTCTCTTCTAACAGTTATATAGCCTCGGACATTACTTTCACAGCTTTATAGCCTATTGACATGCTAAGCAGTTTTTATCATGATTTAAGACTTCTTCAGGGTAGACGTAGGGGAGGAGAGTTTTCTGTCATAAGCTGTGCTGCATTTACTAGTTATGCAAACTCTGCCCATTAAATAAGCAGACACTGGTATTGCATGTTTTCAGCCATGACAATAGCCTTGGAGTTCAAGCACCATTCAAGTGGGTCACAGCAGATGATCACCTTAAACAGCTAAATTCCAAGAAGAGTATTCATTTTGTTTCCAAGATGTTTTTCATAAATATTTGGAAGGCATCCAGTCTGTTTCTCGGCACATGGGATACAAGGCTTTATGTTTGAGCTGAAGAGTTTTAAATTTACCACATCAGGAAGTACAGTAGAGGTCTGTCGTCTATGTAAACTCTGGCACTTTTGTTCGTCTTAAGGGATTAAAAAAGTTATTAAAAATCTACCTAGTGAACAGGGTGCTTTTTGGGACATTAATTTCATGCAATTAAAACCCAACGTTTTTAAAGCAACATATACACACAGATTCCGTTATTTATCTGTCATGCTTTGCCTATCACAACTGTAAAGATGACAGTTTTTTCCTGGAATGCTAAACTCTGTAGACATCTGAAAGGCTGTGAGAGAACAGACAAATAGACAGGAAAAATCTCTGCAATGACAAAAATGAGAAGTAGTGTCAGCTTTTCCAGTCGTATCATTGAAAAAAAACAGAGCGAAATGCGCAGACTCCAGCTAAAATGGGAATTCAGAAAGGCAATCGACTTCACCCAGATGCGTACTGCAAAACGGAGACTGCTCACTGGACACGTTACACTAGCGAAAAAACAACCATGAGCTGGTTTGGAAAGGTCCTGTAGTACAGCAGTTCCATCCCTACACTGCTGCTCATAGCCATGGCACAGAGGACTACAGCTACAACAGCAGATCCAGGCAGAACTCAAACGGTGACCTTGTTTTGGATGGTGCACTGGTGGTTTCCTTACCATTAAAAGCAACAAATATGATCAAGGCCATCACAAATCCTGAACTTATCAGTGTTGCTGTAAGCAAGGAATAGCAGCAAAGCTAACGGCAGTAGAACCACTGATGAAGGAATTATCTGACATTTGAAAGCAGGCAGAATCTAAATCAGATATATTCAACGTAGCAATGCCTCATCAAAACATCCAAGCTGATGAGAACTTAAGAATGGAGAATGACATTAGAGAGGTCTTTACCTTTCTGACAAATGAAAACAAGACTGCACATTTCTATCAGGGAACTCTCAGAACAGCAAATATTTTCCACTTGGTTAGTCTAATTAGCACAGTACCGGAAACACTGAATATTGTTTCCTGTCATTCACTCTGCAATGCATTCTTGCTTCTTTTTCTATTGTAATCCCATGTTTTCCTAGAATACCCAACTGGTGCAAAACACATCCAGGTCCAGGGGTAACAGCAATGGCGTAAATACGACCACTGCGGGAGAGAGACCAAGTGGCCAAAAGCATTTCCAGCACCACATTGACCCTTGCTCTCAGAGTGGACGAA